GAGGATCGCCATGAGTTTGAGGCCAGCCCAGGCTATGCAGTGAGATCCTATCTCAAAAAGAAAAACAAGAAAGAAAGAGAAAAAGGGTTTAGATGATGTGATTTTCAGAAATGTTCTTTTAAATTTTAATTTTTGTTAGTATTATAGAGAGCTAAGTTCGGTAGAAATATAGGCTGTCAGGCAGGGCTAGAAGTCAAAGAAGTCAGTGCAGAAAATGAGAACACATTACAGCTGTGGCTGGAGGCACCTTCTGAAGGCCAAGCTTCAAAACAACAATAAAATGCCTACACCTACTTCCTCGGGAATAAACCACAAGGGTTGATATTCCTCTTGAGCATCAGTAAGCTGGGTGGAGTCCAAGACTTTAACCCATCCTTAGCAGGAAAGATCTCTGTTCTTTTCGTGTACACTTGCAACGTGACCTGCTTTCCCATTGGGTCGACATTACCTACGTGACTATACTTGTGATCCTATTGGTTGACCGTAGTTTTGTCCCACCTTATGCCTGCCTCCTGATTTTGATCACACATTGCAGATTTTGCTCTATAAGCTTCTTCGAGAAGTGGGCTTGTGTGCAACCCATTTTCCAGGTCCCCTTCTGTCTGTCTCTCCTTCAACAAATATTTCTTACTCAACTTCTGTTATTCCTAGAATTCATTCTTGGATTTTAGAGACCACAAACTCGGTGTATCCAACATCTGCCAGGCTGGGAGTTAAAATAATCCCCTTACTCATTTGGAGATTCCTACGTGGTTCCTAGACCATTAGTACGTGTTTGGATTAGAAAGTCATTGCTGTCACGGACACAGGGTCTGGCTATGCAGTTCTGCAACAGGGCGAATGACCTACGGACCGCCAAATAATGTAAGGGAAATATTACAACCCCCAGCCTGCTAGAAGTCAGGCACGCTGAGTTTGTGTTCTCTAAAATCCGAGAATGAATTGTAGGAGCGGAGCAGGAAACAGTGAGGAACCCAGCACCGGCAACTCTTTAAGGAGAAGACAGGAGCAGAAAGAGGCTTTAATGTTGCCGCGGCTCAGCGAGTGACTCCTCCCAGTCTCAAGAGCCCCGAATCTAAGTTTGTGCTTCCTTGTGTACCTCTTTTTACTTCTGTGAGTCTTAATTCCATCAGAGTTTCCCTGGGAATGCGGCGCGCAGGACTTAACAAAGCAGAACCGTGGAGAGAGGAGAGGAGAGTTCTGGCGGGACTTTCTGTCTGTTTACGCTTCTGTGGCGACAGATTCCAGAAGTTTTCATGGCTATTCAGGTACATTCCGCAAAGAGCACAGTTACCTAGTCAACGCATAGCTAACTAGTAACACAGTTAACCCATAGGTGCCCAGTTCCATTCGGAGAAGTGCTCTCCTCTCTCAGGAGCAATGGAGGTTAAGTTTAGAAAGAGCCAGGGAGGTAGTTCAGTGGCACAGTGCCTGCCTGGCAAGCGCAAGGTCCTGAGTTCAATCCCTGGCACACACACACGCGCACACACGCACACACAAAGAGTAGAAAGAATTTATTGAGATAAAGATAGCTTCTGTGTAAGAGAGGAGATCTGGAAAGTGATCCCTCGGGATCCCGCTTCTCAAGGGTGTTTTATTGAGCAAAGTCAGGAGATGAGGTAGGATCAAGGTGGGACAAAACTATAGTTGACTAATACGATTAGAAGTATCTCTGGGTGTGGTGGCGCACGCCTGTCGTCCCAGCACTGAGAGGCTGAGGAAGGAAGATCGCGGTGAGTTTGGGCCCAGGCTTCATGGCAAGATTCTGTCTCAAAAAAACAAAGCAAACAAACAAAAACTATGGTCAAATTTAGGTAATACTGATGCAATGGGAAACCACTAGGTGGCTAAGAGGCAGGATGTAATTATAGTCAACAGAAAAGAGTGGCTTAGGTAGTTCTGACAGCCCCGGAGCAGGTGTGCACGGAAGGAACGAGGGTTTTCTGGGAAGGGTTGGGCTTGGGAGGCTTTGGCCCCCAACAGAGGTGACTGCTGCCCCTTTAGAAATCACTCTCTGCTGTACATCCCTAGGGGAGGTGCGTGCTACTACTTCCTCTTTTCCTTGAAGCCTGACCTTCAATGAATGAGCCTCAAACCATAGTTATCTTCTGATGCTGAGGGCCCCACCTTGCCTAACTGCCCTAGAATGTTTTTTGTTTGTTTGTTTGTTTTGTTTTTTTGAGACAGGGTCTCACTGTGTAGTTGAGACTGACCTGGAACTCACTATGTAGCCCAGGCTGGTCTCGAACTCACAGCAATCCTCCTGTCTCAGCCTCCTGAGTGCTGGGATTATAGGTGTGCACCACCATGCCCAGCTGGAATGTTTTAATCCTCCTGCCTCAGCCTCTAGAATGCTGGGACTACATCACACCTGCCTCCTCGGGTCCTCTTTCGGCAGCAAACAGCAGTGGCCAAGGACACAAGGAAATAGCAGACATGTTCAGGCTGTGCCCTCCTCCTGTACCTGGACCTCTCCCTCCTTTGCCTCGGGGATAAGATTGGACCTTGGCCTCTCACCCTGAATCTTCTGTCCCGCCATCTGGGTGGAACCCAGGAGAGGTGAGTTTCGAGCTAGGCCTGAGGAAATTCGGAGCAGCTCCTTGGGTGTAGAAGAAACAAATAGAGCTTTCACCTCCATTCTGCGGTGCAGAGCAGCACACTGGTTACACCGAGATACACGGTTTCCTGGTCCTTTTACTTCCCCTCCCCTTCCTTTCGACCCACTCACCCCTGGAAGACTACGTGAGTTTTTCTCTTTTTTGGTTTTTTTGAGACAGGGTCTCACTAGGTAGTTGAGACTCACCTGGAACTCACTACGCAGCCCCGGGCTGGTCTTGAATTCACAGCGATCCTTCTGCCTTAGCCTCCCAAGTGCTGGGATCACAGGTGTGCGCCACCACGCCCAGCCGACTACATGATTTTTAAGAGAAGGTGTGTGGGTCTCAGGGCTGCTTGTGGCTTGGCTGTCTGCGTTTTGGACACCGGCCTGTGGGCTGCGTGTGGCATCATCTGTTCACACAGCCCGGTGAGAGCTCAGTGCAGTCTCCACAAAGACGACAGAAGCGATGGATGTTTCTGTGCGTGTTTGGTTTTGGCTGACACAGAGTCTCCCTGTAGAGCCCAGGCTGGCCTCGAACTCCAGGCGATCCTCCTGCCTCAGCCTCCTGAGTGTTGGGATCACAGGTGTATGCCACTGTCACAGGAAATAATACCAGAGATGAAGTAGGAAAGATGTCTCCCAGCATGTTCACTGTAGGACACACCGAGCTGTTCTCTAGAAATCGAAGACTGAGTCCTAGCAATGGAGAAGGTGAAGAGGAGGAAGAAGTTTATTGACAGGGAAGCTCCTGAGGGGCAGGAGGGGTCCTGAGTGAGCAGCCCGGGGACCCCGCTTTCCAGAGAAGTTTTATAGGGTCGGACTCGACCATCCAATAAGGCGACAATGTAGTGACTTAGGTGATGGTGTCCAATGGGGAAACGAGTCATGGGCTGAGCATGGACGGAAAGAGCAAGGGTTCTCCTAGGCAGTGCAGTGTCCAGAGGTCTCCGGTCACCCCGGGGTGGCTGTGTCTGTCTGGACTTCATCAGGCCCAGAGTTTGTTCTCTGAGGACCTACACAGACCTGGCCATCTCGCCTTTACCTCGAGGCCTGGTTTCAACCCCTGTGTCTCCTGTGGTGTGCTTCACCTTTGTCCTGACCCTCTCCGGGCCAGGCCCTATCTGGCTGTCATATTTCCACCTCGCTCACCTATCTGTAACACTACCACGCCCGCGGCACACTGCCATGGATTAATCTCTGACCATCATAAACACGATAGAGCCCCGGCCTACATACATCAGAAAATAGGGAATTCTCGTGGATGTGTGAAAACTGCCTTGACGATTGGAGTTACAAGGTCCGCGCTTTAGTTCTGGTTCTGGCATCCAGTAAATGTGTGACTCTGGGGGACTAAGTCACTCGATTTATACCAGAGCTGTACCTCAGAATAAAGCAGGGATTCTGTCAGCTTTGATGGGAGCTACGAAAACATGGCTTAAATTGTGAACACTGTAAAATGAAAGGCATGACTGTCTCAGAATTCAGCACTTGACAGTGGCTCAGGACAATTTCAGACTTCTTAAAATATGGGAGGCTGAGGCAGGAGGATTGTCATGAGTTCGAGGCCAACCTGGGCTCTGTAGTGAGCTCAAGGTCAGCCCAACTACATAGCGAGACCCTGCCTCAAAAAACAAAAATAAAAATAAAATAAAATTTTAAAGTAGTAAAGCAAGGCTCTCTCTCCGTCTCTCTTTTGATCTTTTTTTGAGATAGGATCTCCTTTTGAAGTCCAGGCTGGCTTCATACTTGATCTGTCTGCCTCAGCCTCCTGAGTGCTAGCTCATGCATTACAGGCGTGCGGCACCACACTCAGAGAAAACATATTTTTAATATGTTAACTTTCAGCTGTGATGTGAAGTCTATGTCAAGTGTAGAAGCACCTTGTGGCAAGACTCTTTGTTTTGGGTTTTTTATATTCATTAAGTTTATTGGTACATTTTAGGTATCTGATACAATGACATTCATCACTGGGAATTTGTACCTTTACATGACAGGTCTTGGGGTTATTTTTAAAGAGGATAATATAAATGATCAGATTACATCAAAATTGGATGAATATATTATTCTTGATCAGCATTCACTATAAAGTATAAGGTGAGCTGGGTCTGCAATCTCAGCACTCAGGAGGCTGAGGCAGGAGGACTGCCACGAGTTCGAGACTAACCTGGATTACACATTGAGTTTGAGGCCAGAGCTATAGAGGGAGACTCCTGTGTCAAAACCAAACAGATCCAAGCCAAAAAGAAGAAGGAGAGAAAGAAGAGTCGCATGCGTGTCCCAGAAACAGACCTTGACCCTTTGGTGAGACACTGCTTAGCGTTTCTGTGCCTCTCCCCGGGCCCAATTGGCCCAATCTCCGAGGCGCGGCGCTCCCGGGCACTATTTAAGGCCAGCACAGCTGTGCAGCTGGAGCAGTTCCTTCTGCGGAGAGGAGGAGAGCCAGAGCCGCTGTCTTCCTGCCAAACTGGTCTGTGCAGGGCCGGACAATGGATTCTCAGCAGACGCTGGTCCTGGAGCAGCCTGTTGGCAAGGACAGCGCCAAGCGGTACAAGCGGATCTGCGCGGTGAGTGCAGCGGGGTCTCCTGGGCCGGGCGGGGCCGGGACAGCGCTGCCGGCATCGCCCGACTCCAGCGCGGAGATGTGAAAGGCCACAGGTTTCTGCCAGGTCCCCAGCCAACTCTCCGCAGTACAGGGAGGAACCACAGCCACCTCTTCGAAGCGGGAGAGGGAGAAATTCAAATCACCCTAGTCCTGCTGTTTGTTGAAATTATTTTCTTAAATTCCAAAGGTTCTCTTTTGTCTACTCCCTCCTTCTTGTCTTTTTATGGGGTGTGATCCTCCCTGTCCTAAATAATAAAATCAAGAGCTGTCTTGATTTTATTACTCTCTTCCCCTGCCCAGCAAACTTCTGGGGCAAGGGGGAGGCTCTGTCCACTGCCTCAGTTTCCTTGGCATCAGACCGACCCTCAGGCTCTGGCTTTGTTTTCATTTTGCTGAAGGCAAACCTCCAACCCCCACACCCAAGAGTTGGCCCTTCCTCCTCCTCCCTCCCATCGAGTGCCATAAGAATGCATGAGAGTTGTTGAACTCTCCCTCCTCTGCTTCCTTCCTGTTTTTGGGTTTTGGGACAGGATCTCACTGTGTAACCCAGGCTGGCCTTGAATGCAGAGATCCTCCTGCCTCAGCCTCCAGAAAACTGAGCTCATTGCATCTTAGCCGTAAACATTTCCCCAAAGCCCGCCTAGGGATCTGAAGAGGAGTTGCCACACGATGTCCTGCAGCTACAGAAGTCATAGCCTTCTTGAGGCATCTCTGACTCCTTTCTGAGTCTGTTACTGGCTCTCCAGGGCTTTTTGGTTCCCTCCAGTCTCCATGCAAAACCGCTGACTTCTGGGTTGCATCTCCCCATGCGTGCCCTGTGCGGCCGCATTCTAAACTCCTGCCTACGAGAATACTCCCTCTCTCTCAGTACTTTTTTTTTTTTTTTTTAAGTACTGGGGTTTTAACCTTGGTACTGAACTACATCCCTGACCCTTTTTATTATGAGACAGGGCCTCACTAAATGGCTAAGTTGCTGAGGCTGGGCTTGAACTTTTGCTCCTCCTGCTTCTGAAGGATCACAGACCTTTGCCATCTCACCAGGATCTCTCCAGCATCACTGAGGAGTCAAGGACACAACGCACGTCCGTGCTGAGCCTCCTGACAGGCGAAATAAACCCTCGATATTTCTGCTTATTCTTTATCCTTTGGGGATTTTTGTTTTAAAGTTGTTTTTTTGAGACAGGGTCTCACTATGTAGCCCAGGCTGGCCTCAAACCCATGGCTGACCCTCCTGCCTCGGCCTCCAGGTGCTGGGATTACAAACGTGCCTCCGCGCCTTGTGTCCGTGACTCTGCGCTATGGTAACGGTGTTAACGGAGCTGTAAACCCTTGCCTGTGTCCTGTGTGCCTCTGTCGCTGCTGCTCTTTATTGGCAGTAGCGGTCTCCCAGCCCTGCCACCTGGCGCTTATTAAGGGACATCGCGGGAGGGGGAGGACTCGGAGGAAGACCCGGTGGCGCCGGGGCTTTAATCAAGTTGTAGCCCAAAGTCCGCCAGAACCCGAGCCATTTTGCCAAGCAGAGGAACGTTCGCAGTGGAGTGGCACTAGCGTGACTGGCTCAGTGCTGCCCTCTGTTGGAAGGAGAAATACAATCAAACAACTGCGCCCTAGGTAGCTAAGGATTTCACAGCTCTGCCGGGGGCTGGATGCCTTCACATAAAACGATTTCTAAAGAAGTGCCCAGCGGAAAAGAAGAAAAACAGCCGGGCGTGATGGCACAGGCCTGTGACCCCAGCACAGGGAGGCTGAGGCAGGAGGATCACCCCTGAGTTGGAGGCCAACCTGGGCTACATAGCAAGATTCTGTCTCAAATCTAAAAATAAAGTGGGAAAAAAAACAAAAACCAAAAAACAGGAAAAGAAAAATGGGCAAAGGTAAATGGATCCCCCAGGCACCAGGGATTGAACTCTGGGACCCTATACTCCTGAGCTACATCCTCAGCCCTTCTTTAAACTGAATTTTGAGGCACAGTCTTGGTAAATTACCCCGAAAACTACTGATCCTCCTGCTTCAGCCTCCTGAGTATCGGGGGCTGAAGGCCTGCACCATTGTACCTGGAGCTCCTGTAGTGTTAATTCCTATTTTATTTATTTCTTTTCTTTTTCTTTGTTGCCATGGATCAAACTCAAGACCTTACATTTGCGAAGTGGTAGAACCAGGGGTAAATCCCTGCCCCTCCCCGCTTTGGCTACTGGGGATCGAACTCGGGACCTTGCCTTGCAAGGCGGTGCAGTGCCACTGAGCTAGATCCCCTGTCCCATTCCTACTTTAATTCCACCCGGGTTAAGCGTGCTGTAGTTGAAGGATAGCATCTGAATTCGGAGATCTCTAATGCATGCGTCCCAGCCTTCTCTCCGATCTTTCAGGCGTTAAGTGAGTGGTGTACCCGCGTCTGGCCTCCTGCACGGCTGGCGAGACGGTGGTTATTTTTCACTGTGCTTTTTTAAAAGGTTGTAAAGGTGCCTTTTCCTTCCTTCTCGAAGGTTCTTCTGGCTTTGCTGGTGATTGTGACGCTTGGATTAGGCTTGGGGCTTGGACTGAGAAAACCAGAAGAGCAAGGTACACGCAGCCCCAGTCCCTTCCTCCTCCCGGGGAGGCCCTGAAATCCCACTCCAGCCCCGCGCCTGCCAGCTCCTCCTCCGCCCGCAGCGGTGGTCAGAGGCCCCTCCCCGTCCCGCTGGGACATTTGTCAGGCTCGCTTCTGCACTTTACTCTTTGCCTGAGAGATCCCCATATCAGCGCTGATAACCGATCGATGGCCCAGGTCCTGCCTCCCAGCTGGGCTGTGACTCAGCACAGGCGGGCAGGCGTCCAGCCGCCTCGCCTGGCACCCACAGGACCGCACTCTCCGAGCCTCCTGCCGTTCAGTCTCACACCCAGTGCGGGGACACAGGCTCGTCGATCCAGCACTGGGAAAGCTGAGGCAGGAGATTCACCGCAAGTTCGAGGCCAGCGTGTGCTACATAGTGAGACCTTATCTTAAAAAAAAAAAAAATCCCATTGTCACGTCCTGGTTGTCACACAGGACCGGAACGTCCCGACCTCAGGGACGAGGGTGCGAATGCTCTCGGGGCTTCCAGAATTCTGCCTGACTTAACTTCCACCGAAGATTTCATTACTACGGTGGCAGCTGCTTTCCAAGAGCATCCTTCGTGCTGCGTCTTTCCTTGCTTTTCTTCTTCTTTCACAGTTCTCTCTCTCTTTTGAGACAGGGTCTCACTATGGAGCCCAGCCTGGCCTCGAACTCTCAGCCATCCTCCTGTTCAGCTGCGCCCCTTCCCTCTGCTTATTCTTAACGCTGGGCCTTTCCTCCCCACCTCGTCCCGGCCTCTGACCCGGCCCCACCTGCTGCCCGACAGCGTCGGAAGCTCTCGCCCCTGAGGCT